TCAGAAGATAGTCACTATCATACAGAATTCATATGATGGATTACACTGCAAAATCGTGTATGGAGGACAGTTGACAAAGTCGTTCGAAGTAAAGACCGGTGTTAGGCAAGGTTGCTTACTCTCACCCTTTCTCTTTCTCCTGGTGATCGACTGGATCATGAAGACGTCAACATCTGGAGGGAAGCATGAGATACAATGGACATCTAGGATGCAGTTGGACGATCTAGACTTCGCAGATGATTTGGCCCTTCTATCGCAAACGGAACAACAAATGCAGGAGAAGACGAATAGTGTAGCAGCAGCCTCAGCAACAGTGGATCTCAATATACACAAAGGGAAGAGCAAGATTCTCCAATACAACACAGTATGCAACAATCCAATCACAATTGACGGAGAAGATTTGGAAGATGTTAAAACCTTTACATATTTGGGCAGCATCATTGATGAACACAGTGGATCTGATGCAGATGTGAAAGTGAGGATCGGAAAAGCAAGAGCAGCATATTTACAACTGAAGAATTTCTGGAACTTAAAACAACTGTCTGTCAACCAACACCAAGGTCACAATTTTCAATACAAATGTCAAGACAGTTCTACTGTATGGGGCGGAAACCTGGAGAACTACGAAAGCCATCCATCATCCAGAAAATACAAGTGTTTATTAACAGTTGTCTACGCAAAATACTTCAGATCCGTTGGCCGGACATTATTAGCAACAACCTATTTTGGGAGAGAACAAACCAGATCCCAGAGGAGGAAGAAATAAGGAAGAAGAGCTGGAAGTGGATAGAACATACCCTGAGGAAAGCACCCAACTGCGTCACATGACAAACCCCCATTTGGAATCCTCAATGTCAGAGGTGGAGAAGAGGAAGAACAAAGAACACATTACACCGGGAAATGAAGATAGACATGAGAAAAGTGAACAAGAATTGGATGGAACTAGAAAAGAAGGTGGAGGACAGAGTGGGTTGGAGAATGCTGTTCGGCGGCCTATGCTCCATTAGGAGTAACAGGTGTAAGTAAGTAAGTATAATAGACTTTAAATCACTTAGGTAAAATTCAGTGATTTATGATTTTAAATTCAGTGATTTGATAATAAAACTGGATCACTATACTGTACCATAAGTTAGTTTCTGTCTCTATCTGGACTTGATTTTTTCCGTGAATCACAGCTTGGAGTGATTCTACAGGTATCTAATTTCAACTGTACTATAGAATAACGTAAATGATTTAATGTCACCCGTCTTTGTAAACACGGATTTAATTTGCACTTTCGTCAGGTCAATCAGGGAAATATAGACTCAGACACGGATAAAATTTGAATAAACTTCACGAAATGATGGAATACCTGTTACATGAATATAATACGTCAGTATATATACAATAGCGAAATGAATTTTTGAAATGTCTATCATTGGCTGGTTTAGGTAACCTAGTTTAAGCTATTAAAAAACGCCAAATTAACTTCAAATCGAACATCGACTAAATCAAACGAAATTTCAACGTTTATCGAAAAACGAATTAAAGAAGAGGTTTCTTCATTAATTTGTTAAGACAACAAAGTTAAAAGAATCACTGACGAGTCATTTATTTTCACAACAGATTATGCTCACATTGAAGATATTTATTTATTTGAACACATGGATATTGGTACAAGGAGGCACCATATAAATACGCGCCACACAAATCTCACTTAATTTGTGTGAGGGCTGTGATACTGCCTGGGTGCTCAAACTGAAACAAATAGTTTACTTAGGGGGCCACATCCGGAGCCTTCGACCTAAAGGTCTGATCCATAAGGGAGTGGAGCAATGTCAGGAGATGCAGTCTCATGGTAGTCGGTGACCAATAATTGGTTCATATGCCATTTGTCCATTCAGGATACTGAAGGCCATGTGCACTATAGGTTTGGAATGAAGGTTTTCCAACTCCCCTAGGTGGACTCTCCGTTTCCACCAAACTGTTTAAAGCTCTGGACATTCGCTTTTTGTCCTGTCAATTTTGTAAACAACACCCGCACCACGAGAAGTGTTGGGGATGTCAGATCCCCAGAACTCACTTGGTAAATGCCTTAATTTTATAATTTTGTTTTGGAAATTTAAATTTCCTTGTTTTCGCGACAAATGCACACTTTTCACCTTCATGTCGTATTTCCCACTTGGGAGAATCTTTAACGCTATTGTTCCGTTGTGTATTTTTAGTATGCCATTTTTGCAACGCTTTCCAAGGACAGTTTTATGTTGTATATATACGTTTGAGTTGTGTCTGTCATTATTCACTCGTGCTTCTGGCTTACGGAATACACTTTCCCGTTCCAAACTTGGACTTCTTTCTCTAGTTAGTGGGGATGGAACGCATCAAGAAGGCAGTGAGTAAGACTTCCCTGGCAGAGGCCATATACGTGTGGCCATGTAAGAGCATTTGGAGAGGGAGAGCGGACTCTCCCCACTCTCGGCCGTAACAAGACATTTGGGGGCTATTTGAACTGTCAGACTATTTCATTTGAAATATCTGAGGAATAGAATATTATCTGTAAGAATAAAAGCAAAACATCACTACAGATACTGAAAGTTGTACAGTTGAAATAGCTTATTACCATGACAAATACTTTGAGCTAAATTGTTTGCGGTTTGATGTAATCTGCATCGTTGCCTTGTAAATCAGAAATGCAGTTCATGGAACTTGGAAAAAGTGATCTAAATACATCACGTTCATTACTAGTGTACTGAGTAAGAATATAGGCTGCGACAACCAAATTAGAGAATCTCTTAGTAAAATCTGAGAACCATAAAGTAAATACTTCATTTGCAAAATGTCAATCAACTGTTTCACACTTGATTTTTTCTTTATTTCCATACCAATCACTCTCTGTTCTCGTTCTATTCTCTTCAATCTTTTTAACCTTCTTCTGCCAGACATATCACTTTCAATTGGTGATGCCTACTACTTTTATATGTCAACATCAGTAACACACGCCACACTAGATATGAAGGTCATGTATACATTTGTGACATCGTATTACTGAGGAGTCTCATACCAAGATGAAGTTACAGTTTAAAATATATAAACCTTAATAAATCATATATTTCAATACGATATTCTCTTCGTTCACAATGAGGTAACTATATCACAAATGCAATATACAATATAACGTTTGAGATTTTAAAGCCGTTTTTTAACCAATAGGGAGAACACTCATTGTTATTAAAAGTATTTTGCTTGGAAATTAAGGAAACCTATCAAAGCATATTGTATCTATGGGAGGGGGAGGTCATCAATTTTTTCAAGGTTAACTATTAGTTTTTTGATAGTATTAAAGAATTTCACTAATCTAAATGTGAATAAGTTTCTTTTATGGACCCATTCCGTTGTTATTAACAGGTGTACGGAAAATTACTAATTGTCAATAATATCTTTATCATTGAATTCACTAAATGAATGGTCAACAAGATTAGGTTATTTGATGATGATATGAAGATGTCACACATAGAAATCGTAGCACATTATGTATTTCTACTCTGTTGGCTCGATATAATGTTTTGGTTGAAAGTTAAAATTGCATTAAAACCAGTAAAACAGAAGCTTTCTGCTTTATGTATGACATAAAAACCTAGTTCATAAAGAATGTATTACTGGTGGTTTCCTTTCCACACTGTCATTTCCTGTCTATGATGATAGAATAATTTGTTCTTGTTAATTAAACGTTTTTTCTCAATGCTTTTTTTATCTGAGAAGATTAAAAAGAACGTATACAATCATGGAAGTAATATCTTTTCATGAGTTAATGAAAACTACACCACCATGAAAAATCTGGAATCACTGGACGACTCTATCGTCTTAGTATGAAACTTCTCATATCCCATGAACCGGATCATAAATGCACACTACTGAAGAGTCCCATACTAGGATGAAACGACCATTTAGTGCTTCCAGGTTTTTTTTATAGTGATCTAGTTTTAATTGACTCATGAATGCCACTATTCAATTACTATGATCTTTACAAACCCATCCCCCTTCTTTTCGTTGAATCCAATATACATCATCATTATAACAATAAGAGTAATCTGTAGTGGCTGTGCTTCGATAATTAATCACCCTCGAATCGTTATCGTATAATCTTCAACGATGTTTGAAATCAGAAGGCAAAAAGAAGCAGCTACTACAGTTTATTTAGTAGATAATTCGGACCAGACAGCAGAGAGGCAAAATGAATGAGCAAGCGAACTACGATTGTAGCAGTAGCAAGTAGTTGTAGTAGTAGTAGTAGTGGTTGTAGTGAATGGGTGAAAATGTACACATATATATATGTATAGGAAAATGGATGAGTCAGCAAATAGACTAAGCAGTTAATAATGAAGCTAGCAGAATGAATACATGCGTAGGCGCTAAACAATGTTCAAGCATATGTATTTCATACAAGCGTAATAATAAAGATAGTACAACAAGTTGTTATATCATGGATGACTTTGTCCATTAAATAGGTCAACAAAAGGCCTTGACTGAACTAAACTCAATTGCACGTGAGTCACTATAATAGCTCCCCCCTGCAAACAAAGATATATGGAAAAATGTCTGTGTTTGCACAAAAAATTACTAAACTGAGTAAGGTAGTTACAATCGTTTGAAAAAAAATAGTTTGTACAAAATTAAGATGAAGTTGGTGTGTGCTGTACATTTGGTTTGCGCCTGTCCGTGAGGTTATAAAAAATAATAGCAATAAATAGAAGGAATGCGGTATTGCTTTACATTTTAAATAAAAATTATACGTTTAAGTGTAGGGGTACATAAGATATGTTGAGTCTTATAGCGTAAAACATGAAATTAGTAATGCATGTGTGTACAATGAAGTGGAAGTTATAATTAATATTTAAAATAGTAGAAGATTATTAATAGAAGATTGCAGCGACATAACGTTGGAGCCATCTTACTCTTCGACCAGACCTTGTCGTTACTGGATTCTCTTTGTTTGTGTTCGTCGATGTCGTTGATGATTGGAACTGACGTTTCGATGATTCAACGGTTTTCGCAGTATCTGTATGTACTGGCTGATCGTAGGCTTCGATGAAAGCTGGTTTGACTCGGTCGATGCTAATTACATCCGTTTTTCCAGCTTTTTCTACCGTGATAGTTTTGTCGTCTCTCTTAATCACCTTAAATGGACCATCGTAGGCCGGTTGTAAGGGACGTTGCACATTATCCCTTCTTATAAACACATGTGTACTGTCACTTAGTTGTTTGGGTATGTACACACGGCGTTGATGTTGTCTCGGAAGCGTTATCCTTAGACTACTCATATGCTGCTTAAGACGCTGTACATAGTCCGTTATATCAGTTGGGACGCTTTTACTTGCGGTGAAAAACTCTCCTGGCAGACGTAGTGTGGTTCCATAAACCAATTCTGCTGGGCAGCATTCTATATCTTGTTTGATTGTTGATCTTAAGCTCAACATGACTAACGGTAGCTTGCTGGCCCAATCGTTATTGCTGATGACAGCTGTAAGAGAAGCTTTAAGTTGCCGATGCAATCTCTCTACCATACCATTCGACATCGGATGGTAGGATGTTGTGCGAATTCGTTTGATTCCGAGTAGTTCTGTGAGTTGTTGAAAGAGGCGGCTCTCGAATTGAGCTCCTCTATCGGTTGTGATATTAGTAGGTACACCATAATGGGAAATCCAATGCTCTACTAGGGTTTTTGCGATAGTTTCGGCTGTAATATCTTTTATGGGCACAGCTACAGGCCATCGTGTGAATCTATCAATGCAAGTGAAAATGTAACTGAAACCATTCGAAACCGGCAGTGGTCCTATAATATCGATATGTACGTGCTCGAATCTGTTATCGGGATGACGGAAATGACCTACTGCGGAACTGGTGTGGCGATGTATCTTAACTCTCTGGCATTTTATACACGCTTGCGTCCAATTACGAATATCCCGATTCATACTTGGCCATACAAAACGTTCGCTGATTAGTTTGATGGTGGCCTTTATTCCGGGATGCGAAATATTGTGCATGGCTTCGAAAATGTTTCGCCTTAGCGGCTTTGGAATAAATGGTCTTGGTTGACCTGTAGAAATATCGCAGGTGATGCTTACTTCTTCCAATGGAGTTTCTTTGAGAACTAACGAGGTTGTGTTGGCAGACTTTAGTCTGTTTAACTCGACGTCGATATTTTGTAATGCTGCTAACTTGTGATAATCGATTTCAGACTGGATGAGAGCACTGACCATCGTTCTGGATAATGCGTCTGCTACTTCGTTACTATTACCTTTGATATACTGTATGTTGGACGTGAATTGGGAAATAAATTCTAATTGTCGGATTTCCCTCGGCGAGTAGTTGTCCTGTTTGGCGTTCAATGCTTTCGTGAGGGGTTTATGGTCTGTATATATTGTGAAAATGGTACCCTCAATCATATGTCGGAAATGTTTTATTGCCAAGTAAATCGCTAGGAGTTCTCTTCCGAAAGTACTATATCTTGTTTGTGTCGGATTCAGTCTTTTCGAAAAAAATGAGAGCGGTTCCCATATGCCATTTACTAATTGTTGTAAAACGGCTCCTACCGCTACGTCTGATGCATCCGTCATGATAGCTAACGGTGTTTCGCTCTTTCGTCTAGTTAGTGTCACTTCTTTATTTAGTGCTTTTTTAGCGTTCTCGAATGCTTGAATTGCGTCTGGTGATAATTGGAATGTCCGTGCGTTTCCGCGTAATGCATCTGTTAGTGGTTGCAATATTGACGCGCAATTCGGGATAAATCGTCTGTAATAATTTATTAACCCGAGAAATCGGCGTAACTTTTTCCATGAGTCGGGTAGGGGATAATTTTTGATGGCGTCGACTTCTGTTGCTATTGGTGTGATGCCTTGAGAAGTTATATTGTGACCTAGGAACTGTAAAGATTCTTTTCCGAATTCACATTTCTCAATATTTATAGAAATACCATGTTCTCTGAGTCGTATAAATAATTGCCGTAGTTGTTGTATATGCTCATCTTTAGTGGTGCTAGCTACTAATAAATCGTCAATATACGCGTATACCCCAGGTAAACCTCTAATGACCTGGTCGATAAACCGTTGAAAGGTTTGTGCCGCGTTAGTCAGTCCAAAAGGCATACGCAGGAATTCATATAGCCCAAATGGGGTTGTTACTGCTGTCTTCGGTATGTCTTGTGGGGCAACAGGGATGTGGTAGTATGCTCTGACTAAGTCGATCTTCGAGAAGATAGTAGTGCCCTCTATACTGTAGGTGAAATCATGAATGTGCGGTATAGGGTATCTGTCAGCTACTGTTTGTTTGTTCAGTGCTCTGTAATCTCCACATGGCCTAACCTCTCCATTCTTTTTCGGGGCCATATGTAGCGGGGATGCCCACGGGCTGCTCGATGGCCTTATAATGCCTAGCCTCATTAGCTTGTCGAATTCCTGTTTTGCGATGGCTAGTCTTTTGGGATCTAACCTTCTTGGTCTTGCATTGATTGGTGGACCATTCGTTACGATGTGATGCTGAATAGAATGTTTGAGATCCGCTTTATTGTATGTTACTCTTACGAGTTCAGGGAATTCCCTTAACAACAATTTATATGGATCACCACGACTTTTATCTATCACAAGGTTCATTGAAACGGCTTCCGTAAGTATTCCTCTTATCGAAGTGGTTTGACTGCCGTTTATAAGTCTGTGTCGTCTAGAGTCTACTAGCAGGTCAAAGTTACATAAGAAATCTATGCCTATTATGGGCATCGATACGTCTGCTATGACAAAGTTCCAGCGGTATGAAGCACCACGTCCAAAATCTAGGGACAATTTCCGTTTGCCATATGTCTTAATATCTGATTTGTTTGCTGCTCTTAGCACTAATGACGGATTAATGTTTTTTCTTTCCTCGTTAAATGGAGGTACTACGCTAATTTCCGCTCCAGTGTCAACTAAGAATTGTGCGCCAGTGGTTCGGTCTTGTATATAAAAGAGGCGACTATTTTCAGGCATTATGTGTGTTGATGCCGTTGCCATTGATACTCGTGAGTATCGGTTACTAGCCCTGTTAAATCTACAAGGTTGTAGGCACTTTCTAGCCCTGTAGCCGAACATTTGATGATACCAACATATCGCGGGAGTTGTGCGTCGTCTAGAAGTTGACCGGGTCCTTTCACGCGAGCGATCTCGCGATGACCTTCGTGGCTTTTCTCTCTGCGTTAATTCTGTGAGTTTGCGGCATAAAACATTTATTTCCTTCTGTAGAGTATCAAGTCTATCGTCTACCGTCACGTTGTGTAGTGGAGGGCTCGCTTGCTTGCTTCTTTCGTATATTCTATCGGCTATCTTTGCTATATTGTCTAAATCAGCATCCGTATCTCCCACAGCTAGGATCTGCTGTATTTTTGCCGGGAGTCGGCGGAGCCACAGTTGATAAAAGAGATTATTGTCAATGTGTCTATCGCCAAGTAGACTTTTCATATAATTTTTTAGTTGTGATGGGGTTCTATCTCCAATTTGTACTTGGTTAAGAAGTTGTTCGACGGCTTGTTGGTCACTGAGAGAGAGAGTTTTAATTACTGCTTCTTTTAGCACGTCGTATGGTTTTTCTGTGTCTGGTTTTGCTAGTGCCTCTCGAACGCTGTCAGCTACTTCGTCTGGGAGTAGTGTGCTTGTCAGGCCGAACTTATCCTTTTGCAAAAGAATGCGGTTAGCGAGAAAATAATTTTCAAGTCTTATAAACCAAAGTTTTGGGTCTGTGATTTTAAAAGAAGGGGCAGGGAGGTTAAGAGACCTCACGGACGAGGCTTGCTGTACGCTTGAAGCTGTGTTTTCATAAGACATGCTTATAAAAATTAGGTAGCACACGAAAATAACTTAACAGTCACAAGGAAGAATAGATGGGCAAAAACAATGATAATAAAAAAATGGCACAATTTATAAAATGGAACAGACTTACTAAATTGCACCAATATATCAATTGTTTATGGATAATTGTTATTTATTATGATTATAATTGTGACGTTTAATAATGTTTGCGAAATAATGTAAGTGTAATTAGAATAATAATATAAATCCACAGTTGTAATTATAGTTCATTTGATAATCCAAATTGAGATGAAAAGAATCGGATTTTTGGGATTTGATTATTTCACCAAAATTTGCTTCCGTTCTCACGTCGGGATTACCAATTCTGTAGTGGCTGTGCTTCGATAATTAATCACCCTCGAATCGTTATCGTATAATCTTCAACGATGTTTGAAATCAGAAGGCAAAAAGAAGCAGCTACTACAGTTTATTTAGTAGATAATTCGGACCAGACAGCAGAGAGGCAAAATGAATGAGCAAGCGAACTACGATTGTAGCAGTAGCAAGTAGTTGTAGTAGTAGTAGTAGTGGTTGTAGTGAATGGGTGAAAATGTACACATATATATATGTATAGGAAAATGGATGAGTCAGCAAATAGACTAAGCAGTTAATAATGAAGCTAGCAGAATGAATACATGCGTAGGCGCTAAACAATGTTCAAGCATATGTATTTCATACAAGCGTAATAATAAAGATAGTACAACAAGTTGTTATATCATGGATGACTTTGTCCATTAAATAGGTCAACAAAAGGCCTTGACTGAACTAAACTCAATTGCACGTGAGTCACTATAAATCTTTTATTCTTTTCATTCAAAAGTATTTCAATTTCAATGATAATTTTACGAAATTAAAAAATAATAATCATCTAAATAAACATCAATATTGTTATCATTACTGAATATTGAACCTATTCAATAACACAGTAAACTTCTTTAAACTTTACTTTGATTCCTATTGAATAGATAGTCCATTATGAAATGATAATACCACATTACAATGTACATTTGAATAAGAAACAAAAGAAAAAAAAGGAGAATATACAAACGTATTTAAGTGTTTATCCTTTTTTAAATAAAATCTAAAACTGTTCTTATTCAATATTGTTTTATTTTAAACAAAACTAGCTTCTCTAATTGTTTTATAAGTATATTTGCCTACATTCGATTTTGATAATCCATAATGTTCTGATTTGATCATTTCCTTTGAATGAATTGAATTATCGGTCATTTGATTATCATGATGAAGATGATCATGATGATGAGGATGATTATTATTATTCATATCAACGATCAATGGTAATGAACTAGTTATAGTTGGTGAATATTGAAATGAATGATGAAATATTCCATTTTTAGTTTGATCATTACAGATAAGATTATCAATATAATCCGTTTCATTATCAATAGACATGTTGATATTATTATTTAAAGGTATAGTTGAATTCTTAGATTTAACATAAATCGGTAATTCCTCTAAATGATCTACGGTTATTGTTGTATTAATACTATCATTATTGATATTATTATTGTCAGTGTTATTTGATGGTTCATGATTGCTTGATATGACATTCTCATCACAAATATGATCATTATCTTTACTAATATCATCTTGATTTTTTATTAATAATTGTTGACATTCTTGTTCATCTTCTAATGGTAAAGGTGATTGATGATGACGGTGGTGGTGATGATGGTGTTTAGTTTTGTTTGGTAAACATATCTTTAAATTATCCGTATATATTATTCTAGGAGATATAAGAAGATCATCATGATGTTGTGGGGCATGAAATGTTTTATAATGAATTTGATCCCTTGAACAAATCAACCGATTTGTATCATGATGATGATAAGTTAGCATAGGATTTGGGTCAGTATTCATGACAATTGATTGATGATTGTGTCGTCTTAATGTTGCTTGTAGTAATGAAATATCCTGGTAAGAAGAAAGCGGATGTTGTTGGTTTCGATGTTCCTGCTGTTGTGGTTTGAAGCGATGCTGAAATGATCTTAAATTTGTGGGATTTTGTAATTGATTTATGGGATAAACTGGTAGCGAATTACCTCGAAAATGCATTGGATGTCTATTCAGATTAGGTGACATAGCATAGATTAATGTAGGCGTTTTAGATGGCATTTGTTCACGTCCTTCATTATTCATTGTTGATTCTGTATAAATGATTGACTGGTGACTCATACTCACTGGAGAATTCAATTGATGTAGACTCATTGGTAACCAATTACGATTATTAGTGCCTATATGGTTTACGTCAATGGCTTCAACATTCTGGATAGTTTGACGTGACCTTTGGTCAAAAAATGGAGTTAAACAACGTGAAATATGTGATATTCTATTATCAACTGTTGGAGCTAAACATTGATATTCATTATCGACATCGAATTGTACACACTGTGGGTTATATGTGCATTTATTTACATTGCTCTGTAATTCCGATGTAACCAAAGCAGGTTGATGTGTTGGTCTACTCAATGTGGTATTAAATAGAAGTCGAGGTTCAGAATTTCTTTGAATAAGAGGGTAAGAATCTGAAAGAAAAGGTAACCGAAAAATATTACACATAATACTGATTGCTAATTATTTCTAATCAGAAGGGGTTTTGTGGATATTATAGTAAGTTCAATGGTTGAGATCAGGAATCAATTGAAGCTAGACCTGCTGAGGAGTCCCACAATAGGACGAAACGGCCATCCAGTGCTTCCAGATTTTCCACGGTGGTCTAGCTCCAATTGACTCATGATCTCAACCATTGATGTGTCGCTTGACTTCGAAAATCGCTACCGATTTTATGTGAAAAAGCAACTCAATGTAAACAACATTTTTATATTGCCTTGAATAAACTCTTGGTCGGTCAAGTACATCGTATAAAAACGAACTACGCCATTGAAAAACATGTTACTTGTCAGTTTTCATGATAGTCCTGAAGTTGTTCAAAATACTGAAAAGTAAACAACATATTTTGATATATAGGCTAACCACTGTAAAAATTAACATGCTCAAGTAGAAATAAAGTAGAACATTGTTTTGCTTTTCAAAAGTCAGAATATATACAGATACTGATCGATATAGTTTTGAATAATAGTAGCGATGGAAAATAATCAAACTCTCTCAACTTATCAGGATTTTTTCAGAGGTATTCCTGTAATAAAACTTTTGAAAGTATACACCAATTCTTCAAAAGAATCTTTAGAAACTGAAAGATGTTCAATAAGCGTTCAATAGAAACTCCCCAGAGGGTTCCAGAAAAAACAATCCGTAATTTCTAGTCGTCTTAGTGAATTGAACAAGTTTCTAGGAGCTTCCGTGATAAGTCTTGCGGATTTGAACGCTATATTCGTCTCCTAAGCCATTCTGTAACCCCCAAGCTAGAACTATACAGCGACCTGAACACGAGAGAGAAGACTCAAAGTACGTGAGAAGTAGTTTACTCCATGGTTCATTTTATTACATGAAATATAGGGTTTTTATAATATTTTAAATGTTTTCGGGTCGCTGGAATATTTTGGAATGCTACTAAACATAGCAGCATTGTAGCAGCCAACCAATCAGAGCCTCTGTATATGGCGTTTCGCTTCCTTGATATTTCTGGCCAAGACTCCAAGTGAACGCTGATTGGACGAAACGCTTCTTAGTGTTTCCTGGATCACGCCAACATTCCGGAATATCACATACAACCATGAACCTTTTAATATCTTTGATATCTGAACCTAAACAAACCTTGGAATTTAAGCGTCTTCTCATGCTTCTTGCCTTTGAACTTCTTTTCTGTGTTCAAATATAAAAGATTTCGGTTGACTAAACAGCTGTTAGAAAGTTAATACTAAGTATTTAAAGCGACTGTAACCCTTTTAGTGTTACTGCCTGTCGGAAGCTCTGGTAAAGTAGGAGGGTTTGGCATGTGGTCAACAACCTCACCCCTTAGAAAACAACCTTGATTAGAAGACGCTAACTAGAAAAAATCAATCAAAACCATACATACATTACGCAAATCATCAAACTGCATCACGAGGCAAGCGATAACTTGGAATGCTGAACAGAAACGGAAAAGAGGAAGGCCAATGAACAAAGTGCGTCGAGAATTGGAATTAGACATCAAGAAAATGAAAACAACTGGAAACGACTGTCCAGGACAGAGTTGGATGGAGAATGCTAGTGGGTGGTCTGTGCTTCTCCATGAGGGATAACAGCCATAAGTAAGTAAGTAATTGTTTAAGTACTAATTGTCCCAAGAATTTTGGGCAATCAGTGTTTATCGACATACTTTTCAAACTTCAATGATAAAATTATTTAAAATATGACTTAGTCTTAAAACGTCGAAATATCAGATATTTTTGACTATCCGGGATACTTTAGACCATACAAACAATTTGTATTTTTATGCGCTTATGTTTTTCTGTTGTTGACATGGAGGAATGCAGGTGGCCAGTCCCCAGAGTGGATTACCTAGGTTTTCATTTGTTAAAGTTAGAAGTAACCAGAGATGGTATTCAGGATGTGAATTTCTTTTTATTTATGACTAGTCAGTTGGGTTTACCTGAATTTCAGTGCTGGTTTTCGTAATAAGACTCGACCCCAGTACTTTTCGAATTGAAGGCCCGAGGCTCAATCCTTGGTGGAGTATTAGGTATGCACAGCCGAGGGGTCACATACTAGAATGAAACAATGTTCAATGCTTTCTGGTTTTCAACATTACTACAACTGAGATGATTCCGTGAAGAATCTTCACAGAACCCGTTGTTCTTTCTTATCTCTTAGAAAGTTAAACAGCTTAGAGATAACCGTTATCATGAACTAAAAACAGCTGAAGAACTACTGAAAACCTAGTTGTCTATTATTGGTCAGTAGCTCCTCATTATTATGCACTTCATACCCCCCACACCAAAAACACATTTCATAACCATTAGGGAGTTAAAATACAATGATCTATAATTTCATACCAAATCAATTTATTATGTAGAGTAATATTCAGTGGATATAGCCTGTAGATAACCATTTAACTTCACAGTTTGCAATTCCTTAGAAGAATTTCGGGAAATCCATCTCCAGGCTAGTTACTTGTAAATGAATCGTATAATTTTAAATGAATAAATTCACTTTGCTATATCAAACAGAAAATTGTCCAACAAAAGTTGACGACTAGTTTCTATAACGAAGACGTAAGAGCAACTTACATTAAAAAGAAGATTGAGGCTTTAAGATTAGAATTTATATAGTTTAGGATTGGAGTTAAATATTAGAATTTAAGAATAAAATAAAGGGATTAAGTTACACATAAAAGAACTTTGAAATGATATCCTAATCTTAAACATGAAATCTTAACTGATAACCTTAAATGGGGAGACTATAATTTATGGATGACCTTTGAGCGACGCTAAAATAACCTTGAGAGTGCCTACTTACTAGGACTAAATGAGGGTTATAAAGCAGTTTGAAGAATAAGGATTATGATTTACAGTTGATGGTTAGGGTTAGGAATTAGATTTAATGCCAACACCCGATTTAACCAAATGGATGAATGAATTTCGCGCTAAAATCTAAGACCGGTTATCGTAAATCTGATTAGTTCGTCCATAAATTATAGTCTCTCCCCTTAAATTGTAAAACTTAATCCCACTACTAAATCCTTAATTTGCAAACAACAAAAATATTAAATCTGTATTCTAATTGATTAAAACAAGGTCAAAAATTTGTCCAAGTAGTTTAAAGTGTCATTTAAACTCTTCCCCCTTTATCATATCTATTTAAGTAATATATACATATGTATCAGAAAACATTTTAGAATTAAATCATCTGTTCTAAGCAAAGATGGATAGTGTCTAGCAGTGGAGTCCAGTTTGACGCGCGTTTCGTCTTATTTGGGACTCATCAGCTGGATGTACCCGCATCTCAGAGTTGATGTTGCTGCACTATCCATCTTTGCTTAAAAAGCTTGTGACCTAAGGCTATGTCGAGACAATCCTCACAGGATGCACATATGTCAATAAGAGACTGATCAATTGTAGTCCTAAACAACAATCGGAAGACACAAGTAAAACAACACCAAATGAATTTAAATCATCTGTCATTTATAAGTATTATGAAATGCAATGAAATAAAAGAGTTTTATGGTAAAGGTTAATATTATTTATTATTATTATTATCATCATTACTACTGACTAATGTATTTTCATTACTACTGAATTCTAATTTTATGATTAATGGATTTATGACATGTTGCTAATTGATTTTAGAATTTCATCACCCGTGTTTTTTTCCTTCTTTTTTTCTATGGTTACATAAATGTGTATGTTTTTGTAACAGAATTTTCTATTAAAATTTGACTATAACTTTTACATTTCACATGCTTACTGTATAAATAAATAAATAACTTTTGCTGATTGAAATCACGAGTCAATTGAGGCTAGACCACCATGGAAAACCTGGAAGCACTGGACGACCGTTTCGTCCTAGTATGGGACTCCTCAGCAGTGCTCATCCACGATCTCGCTCCTCGTGAGATTTGAACTGGCTCAGTGGTTTATTTGGTTAAGCGCCTGGGTTCGAAACTTGCGAGGAGCGAGATCGCGGATGTGCACTTCTGAGGAGTCCCACACTAGGACGAAACAGTCGTCCAGTGCTTCCAGGTTTTTTATGGTGGTCTAGCTTCAATTGGCTCACGATTTCAACCAGTGAAATTTCTGAAATCTCCACAAAACCCCTTCTGAAAATAACTTTTAACATAAACATTTAGAAAACAAAAAGAAGTAAAGAGGGAACACAATATTATTCTATTCATAGTTTTAAGTGTTGATAGATATTTATCTAGATGAAAGAGAGAACTCATTGGTTGTGCATAAAAGATTTCACTCTCGTTTGTATTCTACACAAAAGATCTAATAAGACTTAAATTATTTGTTAGGGTTTATATTTTCTTATTCTTAGGGTTAAGATCTGTAATTAGTCAAACCGCCGTCCATTGCTTACATGTTTTGCATGGTGGTCTAGTTTCAATTGTCTCATGATTTCCACTATTGAAATTATTAAAATCTCCACAAACCCCCTTCTGATAATGATCAATTTCTATTGGTAAATATACATCCTAAACAGCTTACCTTGATATGATTACCTAAGAATTTAAAAAAAAATTAAATTTGGATAGTGACTAGAAGTAATCACAATTGATTGATCACTGTGTGGTGATCAATGTCATGTGTGTCAAGTCCTTATTCAGTGATCAATCAATTGTGATTTCATCTCAGTCCTACAGGAGGCCAGTCGCGGCCCGGATAGCTCAGTGGTAACGTTTCTGACTGTGAAGCTGAGTGACACGGGATCGAATCAGCCAGGGAGCACCAGTTCCCTCAAGATTACAGGTACACCTTGCTGACGAGTGCCAAGTAGCACGAAACCCGGGTCCAGGGTTTCCTGTTGACTACCTCCAACCACCATCTAATTTTAATATATAGTGACTAGAAGAGGAATTTAAGACACATGTTTTATAAATCACTGCCTTTATCGTCTATGATTAATGCGTTTAAAGTAGGATGAAATTATTTGATATTCATATCGAAATTTTACTCTTCATTATGGAGTAAAATAAGTTGGAAATAGATCGAAAATCAAAAATTATTAAGATCTTCTTTTCAGTCTCCTAAGAAACATGAAGTCAATAACTATGTTGTTGTGAACAGTTGAGTTGAACCTAATGAATAACAGTTATATTTATAGTTGGTTCTCATTACTACACTAACATCATCCAGTTAATATCAACCAATGATGTGAATTAAATTTTAGTTACAAAAAACTTCAATAAGTTCCTTATTTCCATATCATGTTACTTTTTCACTCATTTAGGGTGAACAACCAGTGTATAGATTATCATTGTACAAATGTCACCTCTACAGTTCGGTGGTAACGTATCTGGTTGAAGTATAGATCGATGAACTTTCCGAATCTTTGATGATATTTAAGTTCTCTTGAGATCATGGATGTGTTTTCTTAATTAATTATTATCATAAAGTTTAAGCTTACGTCCTCATGACAGCTGTCTCCGACGAATTAACATTAGAAGAATTAAAATCTCATAACGAGTCACTTCGATAACCACACTGCAGAGTCAATCGACAGAACTCGAGTAACACTAGGAATCATATAGTATGCTTTTGCTTAACAATTGAAGGCTGATAAGAAATTGGGACTATTATTAGCGTGCTAGGACGGTCGAGTATAGAAACAACACATTCATGTGCTTACATACCATATCAGAGTCAAGCAGCAAGTAAAAATTTTCAAATGAGGTATGCTATTGAAACAAAATTGGTTATGCCCCTACTTGAAGTCTCTGTCGACATATCATTGTCTTAGTCAGAAAAACAGTTGCATAAACACATGTGATTTATATGTACTATAGTTTGGTTAGTTAATTCAGTATTACTACATATTTCAGTCTTTTTATTCTCATGATGGGTTTGATATATTTTGGGAACTGAATCAAACGACAGAATACCGCACAGTCACTAAATATAACTGATGATTTCAAACAAATCTAGTTTCATTTCAATGAACAGAAATAACCTGATTGAAAATCATATGTTACCAATACAAAGAGCTTGATTTCGCTACATAATGCAACGCATAATACAACTCTGCAAGGTGTTGTAACACTTTTATAATAATTTAAATTAGTCGTAAATGTATAAGTTTAAAAGATGTCTAAAAAGATAACACTTACCATGTGGATTTTGAAGCATATCAGTTGATAAAGTTATCGATTTCTCTGTAGCGCCAATAGATCTATCATTAATACATGACATTTCATTAGAATTTATTGTAATGTCTGTTGCACTGATCATATTATCTGGGATTGCACGATATAATGATGCAGTGTTTCTTGACAGTTCAACTGGCTATATTTTTCAAAAGAACACAATGAATGAAAATGTTTTTTCAGTGAACAGGAAATTAATTTCAATAGTTAAGATCATGAGTCAATTAAAGCTAGACCACCATAGAAAACCTGGAAGCAATGGGTGGCCATTTCGTCCTATTGTGGGACTCCTCAGAAGTGCGCATCAACAATCCCGCTCGTGGGATTCGAACCCAGGGCCTATCAGTCTCGCGCGCGAAATTAATGAAATTAAGCCTTCTGATTGGATAGACGTTGTTTAGAATAAAGATTTATAGTACAAGCAGTAAGCTTACTTTTATGATAGCATTAAAGATCAACGAATGATATATATATATATATATATATATATATATATATATATATATATATATACATCGAATTCACTACCTAGAACGTGGTTAATTCAGTAGTTTGCAATAATTCACTACTCAATAAGATCATGGTGTAGTGAAATTATCATTGAATTCACGAAATACCGACAAATCAATATCTAGTAAATCCATTATCAGACATGGACGGTTGAATCATTTCAAAAACTCTTCATAGCAGTCCATGTCTTAAAACAACTACAAATTTCGGTTAACATTTAACTAAAAAATGAAGAACTAGGGAAGAATATTATTCTTAATGATTAAAGGCTATAGAAATATTAACCAAACTATCAATTAGTTACCATAGGAAGATTGCTCTTGTGTCATATCATGAACTAATCTTGACTAAATAACGTAAGTAAACCAAGAAGTATTGAACGATTATTTCGTCCCAGTATAATACCAGAGATCAAACACATGACTTTCGATCTCGTGCTCGATCGTTTAACTTTTAGACCACTAACTCAGCATTCGAGTATGTAGTTGTCTGACTTCAATCGGTTTATGACATTATTTAATGTCATTGTTGTATAACTTCCTAATACTCGATTTGGTTGAACTCCACTACTAATGCTTTCTCATCAGGACGTCTGGGATTATTTAGTTGTTTCAATTAGCACTTTAACATTCTAGTGGTTCTATAAAATAAAAATTAGTTTTTAGTCATGATCGAATTGATGAAAGTGCTATAGATAACGTTGAATGTCGATGGTACTAAAAGAACAACGTTAACTTTGTAAAATTCATCGTTTGAAAATTATCAGTCTTAAATATCCCAGAGAAAACACAAACCTACAAAGTTTATAATCATAGAAATTTCTCATAACTGTATTTCTGTTTGTGTTATAGAAAGATGAATTAATAAGTGATTGTTTATATGAATATACACTTGGATGGTTGATTTGCCTGTAACCGAAAACTTTCAAAGAACAGTTAATAAAAATAATAAACCTGTTATCAACTGATAAAAAAATTAATTAATTCATAATATGTTTTCGAGTGAGACCGATAGGTCATGGGTTCAAATTCTGTGAGGTGGGATCGTGGATGCACACTGCTGAGGAGTCCCACAATAGAACGAAATGACCATCCAGTGCTTCCAGGTTTTCCATAGTGGTCTAGCTCCATTTGACTCATGATCTCAACTAATAAAATTACTACAACATCCACAAAAACCCCTTCTGATATTATGTATTTACTGAAAATGAATATGTTTGCTTTGATTGTCAGTAAAAAGAATAGTTATTAGCTTCGATACGATAGTGAAGTAATTAGACCTAATAGTTGAACATTTATTCCATAGGAAAGTGAATAACCTGTAGTTCCCATACCCGCTAATCATTCATCTGTTAAACAACTTATCATTTTCATTCTTGTGTTCATTATTTTATATATAGATGCCGTGGGTGTGGATTGCCCCCAAATGCCCTGGTACGGCCGAAAGTGGGGTGAGTCTGCTCTCCCTCTCGAAATGCTCTCGCATGGCCACGTGTATATAGCCTCTGCCGGGAAAGTCCTGCTTACTGTATTCTCGCGGCATTACTGTTGTTTACGAAATTGAGAGGACGAAAAACGAATGTCCAGAGCTTTAATCGGGTTGGTGGAAACGGACAGTCCACCTAGGGAATTCGGAAAACCCTCATTCCAAGCCAATGGTGCACATGGGCTCCAGTATCCTGAACGGACAAATGGCGTATGAACCAATTATTGGTCACCGACTACCATGGGACTGCATCTCCTTACGATGCTCCACTCCCTTATGGATCAGATCTTCATGTCGAAGGCTCCGGGTGTGGCCCCCTAAGTAAACCACCTGCTTCGGTTTGGGCACCCCGGTGGTATCACAGCCCTCACACAAATTAAATGAGATTTGTGTGGCGCATATGTATTTGGTGCCTCCTTATACCAATATCTATGTGTTAAAATAAATAAATAAGTAATAAATCATTATTTTATATATAGATGCATTATATAAGATGGTGGTTGGAGATAGTCAACAGGAAACTTGGTCGATAGGATTTGATCTGCACTAAGAATGACCTAACATACATGACAATGATTACCACCCACTGATCGACCAATTGTTAGGAAAAAAACGTTTTCTACCGGTCAACTGTCTTATCGTCTGTTATTGATCACATTAACAGTTGTCACTCAGCCATATAGTATAATTGCATATTAACGATCAATAAGATCATTTTATTTGTTAATTTAACAATATACATACATCTTTTGACTATAAACCTGTTAGGTCCCGATAAAAATAATGAATGGTAACTTTGGGATCCTTTTATGGACCAATGATAAACGTATATGTTTATCGTATAGTTGTCTAATAACTAAACTATTCATATTCATGTTCCTCTTATTATAAGCTTTATTTTGATCTATGAACCATTATTATACGATTTACCATTCTTGAATTATGCCCTGTCTATTAGTCACTGCCTCCGACATTGACAGCCACATTTGATCATATTTTGTACAAATGTTATTTTCTATTTTATGCTACGTTGTGGTCTGTTTGATTGGTATATAAACTCAGTATGTTTGAAATATAACGATTCATACTGCAGAGGCTGAGATTGGCGTTCTGGACTTAACTGGCTGGGCTAGGCGGGAAGCAGGACCAATCAGGACTCTAGGCTGCTCGCGCGTGTTTTAGGCGTCCTCGGTCAGATCGATAATTCCCTGCATCTGATTGGCGGCTTTGGGCATAGCAAAACCATAAACTATTAATTAACAACAATGACAATGTGGATAAAAGTTGATTGTTAGAATATCCATTGTATTGAATCAGATTAGCTTACTACTTTAATAATTCAATTTTGTCGAGTTGAAACAATTTGATCACTCCTAAGTATTACATAATGCCTATTAGTTAATAATGAACTTGGTTCATATTTGGAAATAGACAAGTTTTCCATAATCATTTAAAAATAATCAAACTTACTGCACATATTGTTTCATTATTGTCTTGATTACTTTTTAAGTTACAACTGTTTGGATTCGATCTAAAGGTACCGTCTAAAATTAATTATCATAAGTAGTTAAGAAAAAAATGTGATGAGTAGACTTTAGTAAACAATATTTAAATTATTGGTTAGAATAAATAATGTAAGTTATGTAGTTTAAGTGTTAACTTAAAACAATTGAGTTCAATTAGATTTCGTAAATCTCTCTCTGTCCTACAGGAGGTCAGTCATAGTTCGGATAGTTAGACAGTAACGTTTCAAACAATAAAACAGGGTGAAGCTGGTTTGGATCTAAGTAAAACATTAGTTATCATGGCTTCAGGGATATTAGTTGCTGACGTGTGCCAACTAGTACAAAACTTACGTCAAGAATGATGTCTTATCAGCTACATCCAACACCTTAACATCTTAATTTAAGTTGTAGTGGCTGGCCCTATATCGAGCCTACGTAGTTTATTCTAGCTTCCGGATAGGCCAATCTAGTCACATTTTGACCTTGTTAATTATTCGCTTATCAACCTTGGCTGTTTTTATGTAAGTGCATATGTGTGCATTTCTTATCCTATTCATCAGATGTGTCTAACTTTCAACTGAATTTCATTGAAATCATGAACCCACCAATGTTAGACCACTATCAAAAATTTGAAACAACTGGACGGTGTTTCATTCTCGTATGGGACTCCTCAAAAGTACGCATCCACGATTGAATACCCAGAATACTCATTTAAGCATTTCAGTCTCGCGAGAACGCTTAAAGACGATATAGATGTTCACTTTCATCAGTGTTATAAAGTATTACTCAAGTTATCGTATCGGACTTAATTCGGTTTTAACAAATTTTATTAACTACAAAATGTTATCTAGTAATCATTCGTATTTATCTTTTTCAAATAATTTTACTTGCGAAAATCTGTGTTCTCATCAATTATTCAATATTAAGGGATTTACGTACAAGTTAATACATGATTTTATAATTATAACCTAATGTTAAAGTCTATCAGTAAATAGTTGTTTTTTCTTAAAAGTATAAGGATGGTAAAGATGGATAGTGGCTAGCAATGAAAGTTAGGATGCGCGTTTCGTCCTATTTCGAACTCTTCAGCTTGATGTACCTGCGTCTCAGAGTTGATGTTCACTTTGGGACTTCAACCCAGTACCATTCATTTCAAATATCATTACGTTATCCTATTGCACAAGCAAGTGGCTATGAAAACTTAGTAGCTAAACGGATAACTCAACGGCGTTCAAAGCGAACAGTACTGGGTTCGAGTCACTCCTGGAGTGAACATCAATTGTGGGATGCATGTACATCCAGATGAAGAGTTCCAAATAAGACGAAACGCATGTCAAACTGGATTTCACTGTTACCCACTATTCATCTTTGTTTATAATGCTTGTAACTTAAGTCAATCTGTAAAACTAACTGTTTATAAGTTTGTGTCATATTTTTTATTTTCTTTCAATTACAATAACAAATTACTTTTATGTATAAACAAACTGTTTGTTTTATTTACGATTTGAAAGTTACCAAGTAATAAATATATGAGTTATGAAAAGAAAGAACTTGGCTATTTGTTTCTTCTTCTTTCCCCCCACCCTCCTCTTTTTTTAAAAAGATCTATTTATTAGATATATGCTTGTGTTTATTGATGATTTATTTACTTTCTATGATATAAACAAATCATTGTTGATATCAATGTAAACAAAACAATGAAATGATCCATATGTATGATCTAATAATTCAGTGGATATGTTTATCATTATTTTTGTCAGTGGTTATCTTACTTTGAATGATGTACTTACATGCAAAGCTGATTTGTAAACATATAGAAGTTATGGAAGGATATTACGACAGTCTTTTTTGATATTTACTGTCAACCATTTACTAGAAGTTAATGTCTAACTTTTTTTTTTTAAAATCATAAGTTAGGCCTGTTCCGGTAGGTTTAAAAAATGCAAATGTAGCTAGTACAATAGAATACCAGGAGTCATTGTAGAATGTATAAAAGATCTCGAAGGATTGTTAAGTAAGCACAGTTCCTTGTTAAGAGTTAACTCAAGAATGACCATTGAAATTAAGTTTGACAAAGAGCATAAAGTTAACTATGCTTTGACATTTTTATTACGTTTGCTAAGGAGATCAAAGATTACTTGTTATTTTGTTGTTGATAATGCTAAATATTTACTAATAATCTAAAAGGCATTTGATTTTCTTTCTACTTCAGTCTTTTGGATGACATTTGGTCTTTTCTAATTAGATATCACTATTTTTAGTAAGCTAACTTTCTGTGTGACTAATTTTAAGTTGTCCTACATGAATCTTATGCTTTTCTTACACTTTATTTTCTTCTTATGTTAGCGATTAATCGTTGACATGTCATATGTCAACTGTAGTTAGAGAGTCCCCAATAGAACTATGCGTATAGGAATAGATTAGTTTCTTTTTAATACGCAAGTATTTTAGGCCAACCGGAAACCATAACAGCAAATAGTATTATCAAGACATAATAATTCTTTAAACCCATACTTAGGTATTCGAAAATAAAATCACCCATCTTTGTTATTCATTTCATACTACTGACCAAATCAGTTTCATCGACTGATTTACTGTAGTCATAAAGTTATCTTTTGGCTATTAACCAAAAGTCATGGATTCAGAATTCTGAATTGTTGATACCACTTATTAATATACGCTATAAACCTTCTTCGGTAAATTTATGCTCAGTTAGTTTGGTTGTAAACATATGAACAGTGATATTTGATTTTATAAACTTATACGAACAATGGAAATAGAAAATGATCTTCTATTATGTCATCACATTGATATATACATGCCTTACACGTCAATAATTTTAACAAATGTAATTTTACTACTAAAACCTATCTGTTAGTAGATAATAATAATAATAAAGGTGATGGTCTAACATCAATCGGTTCATGATCTCAATCAAAAACCTAACAATCTCCACAACCCCTGTACTAGTAATCAACGTGTACCCACTAGTGACTAGCTTCGTGAGGGAATTCTCGGAGTTCTAGTGAGAAGCCGTGACCAGTGGAGCTAATCCGTGTAGGATAGAGACAGGTATCTACCTCAGTACAACGGAATTCGGTCGCGCAATTTCGTGGATTGGTTGATGTTATACACTATCACCATTGGATGCCGGCTCAGTGGCCCAGTTGGTTAAGCGTTCGCGCGCGAAACCGAAGGCCTTGGGTTCGAATCCCCGAAGCAGGATCGTGGATGCGCACTGCTGAGGAGTCCCACAATAGGACGAAACTGCCGTCCAATGCTTCCAGGTTTCCAAAGGTGGTGGTCTAACATCAATCGGTTCATGATCTCAATCAAAAAAAGTTATATCAAATTGAACTCACCTTTCAAGTAGGATTTAGAAGTAGGTACTGGTAATAAAAGTGTTTTCCGCCTAGTCAAATAAATCAGTACCATTATAGCGATCAACAAAATAATAAATGCGATTATTAAGCAAACTACTGCAACTTCACTGATGACAAAACTATTAGATTGATTATTTCCATGATTATTATTATTATTATTAGTTATATAGTTTTCATCATGTCCATTTGGATATTGTTGCATTATACCTGGATGTTTTCTGAATTTTGAATCAGATAACTGTTGATAACTTGAAGAGTATTGATTTCTAACATTTTTATCATACGTTTGATGATCCAGTGAAGATTTTATATCCCAAATATTTTTAAATTGGGTAAATTTTGGTGGATAACGTTTATTATTACTAACAGAATTTTCTTGTCCATGAAAATTACCATTCGTTTTTCTATTTAAATCAATGTTATTATTGTCATGATTGTTAATATTTGAATTCGAATTAACATGACCAGGTAACATTGCTGTATTAGATTGTTTCATGTAACCAATGAATTGTTGATCTACTGAAGAAGATGGATCATTTGATTTTTTATGGTTAGTAACTAAAGATGAATCTAGGGGATTTGTTAAATGTGGTAATCTAACAAGATGTGGAAATTCATTTGGATCAATTACTAACTGTACCCAAATAGGTGAAGCACAACGTTTCGGTAAACCGTGATCACAAGCTTCGAAACGTAGAACATATGTGATAGGATTTATAGGATTTTGATTCAGATTTGTATTTTGTGATAATGGTTGTATAAAATGATCAGATTTTGAATAGAGATTAGGCGATAAAGACAGAACCCCAGTATCTGAATTCAAAACAAACAAACTATCTGTATTTCCAGCTCCAATTTCATAAGTAATTTTAGCATTTTCATCAATATCAGCATCAGTGGCTTCAATTTGTAGCAATGGTCTAGATTCGGTTAAACTGGAAGCTTCACCTAGAGATATAATGGGGTTAGATTACTGATTAAGGTGTTTAATGAACAGAGTGATATACATAGTTTTCATCACAAACTAATAGAAATTCACAATCTGTTGAAACTAACCTTCAGTATCATTCAGCGTTAAAACATTGAAATTGCCGTTGATTATTTCAATAAATAATTCATCACGAACTGATCTCAGTTTGATAAACTTTTACAACCAGAAAACACTAGATATCTGTTTCGGCGTAGTACGGAACTCTACAGAAGTGTACCAATTCAACTCCATCGAGGACCAAAGTCGTATACAATGCAGTTACCCACCAATGATATCAGGAGATGGTTGTGTAGTATAGTAAAGTTCATTGAACATAAAAACGCAGGCCTTCAGAAGTTAGTTCAGCAATCTAAAGACCAAACGCTCTCTGTAGCGACTGAAAGTCATGTTTTCGATCTCAGATAGAGTCGTAGATGCCCAATACTGAGGAGTACCATGTAGGACGATACAGTTATCCAGTACTTCTTGGTTCTCAATGACTATCTAATCTAGATTAGTTGATTATAGATATCTATGAAATTCAACAATCTCCACAGTTCAAAATGAATAATAGTTCACTTTAAGCAACTAATTCAAAGATATTTATTTCCTCAATATACATTTTTCAACTTTTGTTTAATTTTATTAAATGGTGGTCTAACATCAGTCGACTCATGATTTCAATCAAAACCTTAACAGTCTCTACAACCCCATAAAGATAATTTCCATGTACTCCCTAGTGACCAGCTTCGTGAGCGAATCCTAGGAGTTCTGGTGAGAAGCCCTGACCAATGGAGCTAATCCTTGTCTGTTGTGAGACAGTTATTGACTGAAGACAATGATGGACGGTCGCATAATATCGTGGACTGGTAAAAGTTAGACATTACCATGGTCGGATATGGGCTCAGTAGTCTACAGGTTATTCGTTCGCTCGTTAGATCCAAGACGTTCAGTGCTTCTAGGTTCTCAATGGTGGTCTAACATTGATCCATTCATCATATCAATCTAAACTCAACAATCTCCATAACCTTATTCTGATAAAATAATATTATCAATAACCATACGTATCACATATTAGCCATTGGATATTTGTTTAATAGTCTAAAAGCTTAAATGCTTTTTAAAAGATCTGATGTTTTTAAATTCGATCCACAATCTAATTATGGATACAAGAAGTTGAATAACTCTTTAGTAGAATGAAACAGTTTTCAATTTCTTGTTAGATTTAAATGATTTTTTGAGTAAGATCCGTTCGTTATGTAAATTGTAAAATATCTGTATTGCAAAATTACATTGGTATGATATGGACTTAACCAGTATAACTCTATCAAATACTTAATAAGAAACTAAGGAAACGTAACATTAGTTACTATCTAAATGAGATAGAAAAATATCCTTACTTAACTACTTTCATTAGTAAAATGCATTTGAATTACCTTCACCATTAATGAAATCATTAGTTTTTTCTCTTCTATGAACTAATACAACTGGTATATTTGATTTATCATTATGATTGAATTGTATAGTTTGTTGTATTAAATTATTATCATCGTTATTATTGGCACCTTGATTCATTTGTTTCAATGGATTATTGTCATTGTTATTATGATCATTATGGGAGGCGGGCCAATTAACTTTTAAATGATCATCTTGTTTTGCTTGTAATTCATTTTCTTTTTTATCATTAATTAGTGAATTGATAGAATATGGTTTATGAATATTGTTTGTAAGTTTATTATTGATCGAGTTTAAAGTTGATTTTGATTTAGATGATAATGTTGTAGTAGAAATAGCAGGTCTAATAAAAACAGGATCATTGTCATTCTCATCCTTATGGAGATTTCATTTTAGAAAGGAAAAGAAAAAAATGAAAATGGGGAAAAATTCCAAATAATAAATCAATAAGTACAGTACATCAGTATATGGAACAAAAGATCATTCCATTGATTATCAATCATACTGCAATAATGTAATTGACCTCGTTATATATCATAATAATGAAAGGAGCTTAAATCCCTAACGTAGTGTCAGTTTCGTTGAAGATTAGGAGCAACTGTTTCTTCAGTGCACAGAATTATTACTAAGCAAAATACCTATGGCCGCTTAAGATTTATCGATGAATTATCTCGACAATCCTTCACCAGGTACTATGATATTTGTCGTCAGTATTATTTATTCGTGATCCAGATTGTTACTATTTACGGGATCCAATTCAGAAGCATACGTTCCATATACTCTTGCCCAATCAGTTTTTTAAGTGAAAAGACCGAGAAGCAACTAGGAATCTGTCATTGATAAGGTATATAACTATGGTAATAAGTCATTGGTGTACATACAATTGTCCCTCTGTTTCAGACAGGGATACGTAAGCCCAACATTTCCCTATATTTTAATTTTTCCTCCAGCGTTTTGGAATTTAGATAACTTCAGATACATAAAATCAGTAGAAATCGCACTAATATGTAAACCATTCACCAATTAAATGAACTGAAAAATGCCCGAAAATGCGGGATAATGTGTACTTATTGGACATTGTGAAACTGATGGATAATCTCACACCTTATATAAACATGGTTATAGGAGATTTTCTAATATGAATAAAAAATGAAATAAGTGTTTATAAACTGGCGATAAATTTGAACTAAAATTTAATTAACTAAAACAAGTAGTATGTAGCAGGAATTGGAAGTTGAATGCTTATCAGCAGAAGGTTGAAATAAAGAGAACAGAAAAGAAAATTGAGAACACTAGGAATAACAACGGAATTAGAAGAATGATGGATAACTGAAATAAGATCTACGAATAATATATCTGATGTATAACTTTCGTATTTTACAAAGGCACTGAATTTAACTTTGCACAGAGAATGTCTTCGTTGACCACACCACTAATATTAATGCTACCATCATTCGCATACATACAATAAAATAATTATCCACTGATGTCATAAATATCCTGGTTCATTTTGAAAGAAAACTAAACCGTAACAAACACTAACATCCATCTTTTCAGTTGATAAATACATGACTGCACAGCCTACATTTCGTCACTTCCCTACTTTTTTAACCGTTTCCCCTCAATCCACAAGCATACCCCCATACTGTTGAACTAATCAATAAGACGTATATATAGACTGTAATTACAACTTTTTAGTAATGTATTCAATAATTAATTCATTAGGCAAAGTACACACAAGATAAACAAAATTTACAGAATCTTTGGTAAATTATTATTTAGTGCCTTGTTAAGGGGGAGGAAATCTCTTTAGAGAAGTAAAATATCTGTGTTATTAAAACATAACTAAGAATTTATGTATTATTAATTGCTGTAAAAGCCTCATTTAAGCAATTTTTAAATACGTATCTATTAAAGTACATTGGTGTTCGTCAGCATTGGAATTCAAGACATGTGTGTCATTCAGTTCGGGACTCATCAGTAAAAAACTGATCAAGTTAGTTCTTAAGTATGAACAAGAGAATATAACGTACAAGATATTGAACTATGTATTTATTCGTATATAGCTAACTCCACGTAAAGGTTTTCTAGGGTTTCTGCCGGTTCCGAGCCCATATAGAGGAGGAGGGTTGGATGTGGGGTTATCAACTCTATCTCGTAAAGAAGAACCTTGCCGAAAAGACGAAAATCTTTATAATCTAAAATTCATTAGACGAGATATAGCTTGACTTTGATTTTCAACCGTAGTGTATAAACTAGACACTCATACACCATGAGTTGATACAATGTTGGAAAACACTAAGTTTTCTCCAAAGGTACCATAAAAGATTGATTAAAATCCGAAATCCTTATATCTAGTAATTCATTTGTAAGCTGTGATTATTTAATTGACTGATGAGGTAACGAAATTTTTTATTATCAGTCTGTGGAGTGACTGAGACGGTGGGACTATAACTTATGGATAACTTTTGAGCGACGCCTTAGTGACCATGAGAATGTTCACCTACTTACGAGTGCTAATTGAGAGTCATAAAACAGTTTGAAGAATAAGAATTATGATTTATTAACAAGTCCTGTAAATTTGTGTCAAATACGTTTGATTTTCCCCACTCGTGTTCTGTTCACTACATTATTACTGAATAATTGAAGATAGTATCATCCTGTCTCAAGTCAACCAATCATTAGCTATTTACATAGTTCAAATTCATAAGAAAAAAGAAAGATAATAAGCCATCAGTACACAAACTTTTTAATAATAAGTTTTTATGGAACCTATATTGAGCTAATATCTAAAGTATACAATTAATTTCGGTTAATGATGTATAAAAAGTATCAATCTCTAAGAGTAGTGGGTCATATGTATTGCTTATAATGTTGATGTGTGAAGATGGATAGTGACTAGTAGTGGAATCCTGTTTGTCGCACGTTTCGTCCTATTTGGGACTCGTCAATTAGATGTACCTGCTTCGCAGAGTTTATGTTCACTTTGAGACTCGAAACAGTACCGTTTACTTCAAATTAAGACAATATCGAGGCAATACGCACAGTATGCACATATGCCAATAAGAGACTGATCAATTGCAGTCCTAAACATCCATGGGAAGATTCAAGTGAAACAAAACCAAGTGAATTAATGTTTCTATGTCCCTAAATTATTGATACTGAAATGTATGAGGATCGATATCACCGTCATAGGAAATTTTAGTAGGTATAACACTGTCAATTTACCAGACTATATTTACACAATAATATAAGAGAACATGTTACGGATAAGGTCTTGATAAGGAAAACTATACATTAAATACATTATTTGCACATCTTCCATCAGTTGTCTTTTATTAACTTCATCGATCCTTCATTCCTATTGTCATTAAAAATTACTCACTGTTTTCAATTCTCTTGTCAATCTACTTTTGATAACCATTCCAATTCTGATTGTTCCTACATACTACTTATATTTGTCAACATAAGTAGTATATATCACATATCAGAGATTTTCTCAATTTTTTGTTTAAAGGAATTGGCATCAATTATTCAATCAAAAAAAGGAAATAATAATGACGATAGATATTTACTAGAATTTATGAGAAGCTTTTAGAAAAAATCTTTTCACAGATGTTACATAGTTTATCTATGAATGATGTCATACATTTTGTATTCATTTATCAATTTTTTTTAAAATTTGGCGGTTCATTTGAAATTTTGCGTTACATGTTTTATTTATATAAATAAATATATTTAGTCTGTTTTAATTTTTTTATATTATCAACTACATCTGTTCAGTAAACATGATTCACTTTCATGTTAAATGTACATTTACATTTGTTTGTTTGTTTTTAATAGTTAGTTTATAAATGAATCATATCTGTATTGTTATATTTCAAATGAATTATATCTTATAATTGACGTATAATGATGTTGTTGTTGTTGTTTGTTATTTTTTGTGAGTTTGAAGGCCTAATTATGAAGCTTTGATTATCAGTTTAGACAAAAGCGCTCGTGCGCGAGACTGATACGTCCTGGGTTCGAATCCTACGAGGCAGGGTCGTGGATGCGCACTGATGAGGAGTGCCACAATAAGACGAAACGGCCATCCAGTGCTTCCAGGTTTTTTATGGTGGTCTAGTTTCAATCGACTCATGATTTCAATCAAAAACTTAACAATCTCCAAAAACCCTAAACTGATGATCATTTAAAGTTTCTATAATTACAAGACGTTCATAAAACATCAAATGTTTAACCATAATGCATTTCATACCAATATGAAAGAATATGATAATTCTGACATACTGAATAAATTAAAGTTTAGTTGATGTATCTACAACAACAAGGAAGCAACAAAAATAAATCATTCCAATGAAGTGAAAGCGAAGAAACATAGATTTATTTAACAAACAAATGAAGAACACTTGGCTAGACAAATATATACATAACTACATAAGAGTACAAATAGAATACGTTTAGTTAAGTTCAGTTTTACAACTGTACATTCATACATAAGTATACATTGTATACACACTAGCTCATCGTTTCTGAATAGTCACATATCTGAATCTTTCATCCAGATGATTTTTTGTCATACTTAAAAGCATGTATTATGTCATTAGGGTTCAGTAACTTTAATATAACGCTATTCGAGATAATGTATTTTGATCGACTTATCAGAATCCATCGTAAATTATTTATTTTAAGTAAACTTACTGAAACTGAAACCCATAGTTAAAATACGTCGGTTCAAAAATCGATAATTTCTTTATTCGATGATTTAATGATGTCACTCTTCATCCATGCAAGACATATTAATGATAACTAAAGGTATATACTTTCTTAAAGATTATCGCTTTATCTGAGTTAGTCAGCCTATTTAAGTATACGTGCTATTCGACCTGAAATAGGTACACACATAGTATAATTTTTTATGTCTGTCTAATTATTTATTTTATTTATTTGAATACATAAATATTCGTACAAAGAGGTATTGAATACATATGCGCCACACAAGTCACTTGATTTATATGTGAACTGTGATGCTTCCCGGGTACCCAAACTGAAGCAGGTGGTTTTCTTAGGGGGTCACATCCCAAGCCTTCGACATAAAGGTCCGACCCATAAGACAGTGGAGCAATGTCAGGATATTCAGTCTCACGATAGCCGGTGACCAATAATTGGTTCATAGTCCATTTGTTCCTTCAGGATCCTGAATCTCATGTACACTATTGGTTTTGAATCAGGGTTTTCCAACTACTCTAGGTGGACTCTCGGTTTTCGCCAACCCGGTTAAAGTTCCGAACATTCGCTTTTCGTTCTCTCAATTTCATAAACAACAGTAATGCCGTGAGAATTCAGTGAGTAGGACTTCCGTGGCAGTGACTGTATACGCGTGACCATGTGAGAGCATTTGGAGAGTGAGAGCTGACTTTTCACACCTTTGGTCGTACTAAAATAATTTCGGATAGATTTGATCAAAATAGTCTCATGAAATAAGATTCCTGTGTAAAAGAATTAGTTGATAGATTTGTCATAGCGACTGCTTATTTGTTCATTAGTGATTAGCCAGTTGATTGCATAACTTAATACGTTTGCATAATATTCAAAATTACAGATAATCTGTCTTTTGATATTTATTATTGAACAACATAATTTTACCAAAATAACAAAGTTCATTCATTTATCTTTTCTTACAAAATAATAATACTCCATGACAATAGTAATAATAATAATAAGATTGTTATTCTTCTATATTAATTGATCTTAAGATGTTAATCGAAATAGTACTTACGTCCATAAAATTTGGAACAGAATAAATTTCTTCAGAAATATAATTACATCTTGTTAATAGAACTTCTCAACAAGTTTGAAGTCAGTAAAATTCAAAGATTCTCAATGACATGCTAAATATTGTCAGTTTTAGATGTTTCTTTTTCAAAAGCAAATTGATTTGCCATATATGTTTACAACGGTAGATCACGTGTCTTATTGAAACTACCTGGATTAGATATTACACTCTAGATATTAACACTAGTTTACTACTCTACACTAGATACTGGGTCAGGAGATCGCGATAACTAGTTATGTGAAATATAAAGTCGTTTAGTCATGCAACCAATGATCAAGAATATGAAAACGACCATAATAAGTTTAAAACAGTCAACAAGTGGAATCAAAACAGGATTTTAATAGAATGATGTTTGGGCACAATATGATCTCCCATATTTAATCTAGTTAGTTATGTTTTTGTCTGTTTCTCATTCATTTATGGACTATTTTCACTAGATACACTGTAAAAGAAATAGGTTTCTATGCAATGCACTTCTATTTAAAGTAATCACTAGTAATATTGTCAGAAGGGGTTTTGTGCAGATTGCATTAATTTCAATAGTTAAGACCATGAGTCAATTGAAACTAGACCACCATAAAAAACCTGGAAGCACTGAATGGCCGTTTCGTCTTATTGTGGCACTCCTCATCAGTGCGCATCCACGACCCTGCCTCGCAGGATTCGAACCCAGGACGTATCAGTCTCGTGCACGAGCGCTTTTGTCTAAACTGATAATCAAAGCTTCATAATTAGGCCGTCAAACAGTGAATAGTACTGGGTTCGAGCCCAGGAGCGAACGTGAACTCTAGGATGCAGGTGCATCCAGCTGACGAGTCCCAAATAAGATGGAACGCGTATCTAAGATTCCACTGCTAGTCACTATCCATCTTTGCTTAAAAAGCTTGTGACTTAAGGTTATATCGAGACAATCTGCACGGAATGAACAAATGCCAATAAGAGACTGATCAATTGCAGTCCTAAATAACAATAGGAAGATACATATAAAACAACACCAAGTAAATTCCACTTTATGTGATTTATTATTTTTCACATGTTGTTTATATATATGACAAATACAATCATTGGTTTAGACTTTCGCAATTCTAATCGACAGATTCGGAATGTTAGATTCTTACAAGAGGCCAACAACCATTGGGCAAACAATCAGTGAAATTATTATTTTATATAATTTATATTACATATAGGGTTTAATTAAAATGGAAACAACTGACTAACCTAACACTTATCACAACAGTACAAATTTACCTTACTAAGGATCTAACCCAGAACAAACAATTCTAGGTAGGAAATACAACAATCCAGACTTTCCGTGTCACTAACGTCATATATTTTATTCTATTTAAAATGCCATTCTGCAGCAATTTGAAAGGCTCTCCCGGTCTCCCACATTGTACAAACATTCCATGTACCTAAATAAATGGTTGTTCTGGTTGTCAGAAGGAGCATCAGCCTCGTAGCTTCCAAAGGAATTCGGCTTTCACCATGCAGTGTCATAACTCTTCTAAATGAAGACCTTCTGACTCCCAGAGCAGAGTTTAAGTGGTTTGAATAAGTTTTTCTGGTTAGCGTTTTTTTAGCGAGTTAACTTTCTACAGGATGGGGTTGCTAACCCCATGCCGAACCCTCTTCCTTTATCAGGCTTGGGGTCGGCGGTAGCCCCAGAGGGGCTTCAGGCGGACCTCTATTTGAAATACACCTTACTTTTCTTATTCATAACCTTTGTACAAAATATTACATACTTGAGTATGAAACGATTAATTATTGTGATATATATTTTCATTCATCTAAAAAATAGATCTGTCTGAATACATTAATATAATAAATTCATTCATATTACTTACATCTACAATTACAGTTACTGTAGCTGTTGATGTTTGTGATGTTACAGTTGATGGATTACCATCATAAGCAATGACATTAAATATATAAATATTTTGTTTTTCACGATCTAATGTCATTGATGTTCTTAAATAACCATTTGTAGCATGTAAATTAAATGTTCGACGTATTATTAATGGTGAATCATTTGATATTCTTAATGTAATATATGATAAAGATGATGAAATGAATGGTGTTTTAGATGGAGGAGATATCTTGTTTATATTATTATTATTATTATTATTATTATTATTATTATTATTATTATTATATGTCATTGCTTTACTTTCAATATCTAAATCAATTGCCATAATTCGTCCAACTAACCAATAAGCTGGTTTATTCTCTTTTATATGAAATACATAATTATTAACAAAATGTAATTCATTTCGATAATGATTATCAATAATAAAATTTTCATTTTTAAATAAATTATTAAAATATTGTTGTTTATTTTTCATACTACTTATATTATCCTTATTATTATTAGTAGTAGTATCTGTATGATTAATATTAGATTGATTTGTTAATATAAATAATGGTGGCCAATCATTAACATCTGTAATTTTGATTTCAACTATAGCTGTTCCACTATGTCGAATTGATGTTAATTGATTTGGTTGATCTAAAGCGAATACATTAAAACGAAACATGTCGACATTTTCACCATCAAATTTTTTCAATGCATATAGTATACCAGTATGTGAATCAATACGGAATAATTGATCAACTCTGACTAGTTCATGACTATGTTCAATATTATTATTATTATCATGATCATTATTATTATCATTTTCATTATGATAAATAAATAAGTTCTTATCTTCTACTGTAGTTTGTTTATTAATCAATAAATAAGCTGAAGGTAAAACTGAACTAACTGACGATCGTATTTCTAAAAAGTACTCATCTAAATAATATTCAACACGTGCATTTTCACCTTGATCATTATCTTCTGCTAGTACACGACCTATTCGATATTCATAACGATCATCTATTCCTTCAGATTTATATTCTTTCCGTTCATCTACAATTTCTTTTATTGTAGATGTTTGATTTGTTAAATAAGTATTACTTGTTTTATCTAATCGATAATATCCTAATGGTTTCAATTGTTTATCACTATTCTCTGGTAGATCAAATCGATATATTGATTTTTGAAATCTTGGCTGTTCATCATTCATATCTAATACACGTAATCGAATAGTTTGTTCATTAAAATTAGACGCTTGATCAATACATTTTATACGTACATAATATAAAGGATTTTTTTCGCGATCTGGTTTAGTAATTAAATTTAAAATATAATCATTTTTTGTAGCTGAAATTGATTGTGATGATGATTGTAAATCTAAATGATTATTGATTTCATGATAATTATCATTGATTTGATGAAATTGATCCAGTGAATTAATTGGTTTCAATGAAAAGTTCACATTGTCTGTTAAAATACAATTAACTTGATCATTTCCATCGAAATCTGGATCACGAACTTGTACATAGGCTAATTGAATAGGAGGTTGAACATTTTCTTTGACAACTCCTAGAGTAATAAAAATAAAGTTGACTGACTAATTATTTGATCTACTTTATATAATTGAAATAATCTGATTCATTAATGTGTTAAGTAATATAAAACAATTGACTTTAACCTTCCATGATTGAATAATAGTATATTTACTATGAAATCAGTATCTGTTGTGACCCTGCCCACCTCAAACGAAAAGAGGGTATTGTGGAAAATTTTGGGTTTAGATGTAATACTCCCCACCTTGTCCCGTTTATTTCAGTCTCAAGCAGTAAGACCTTTAAATTAAAAGCTAATATATTAAGAACTAATCAATAAAAGCCCGTATACAATCTGTCCCGTGTGCTTGAAGGTCACACCCTTAGGTTGTCAAAACCACTCCCAACCTGGTCTCTTTTTCACGTACTTCAAGAAGTATCCTACAATTGTTTGGGTAACTTAGATGTGACAACTTTCCTCATACATGTAACGGCATTCAAGATCAATTTATTTATCAGCAAGTGACGTATTTACATGAATATCAAATGGACGAGGTATACACTACAGAGAAGTCTGAAACATACAGCAAAAACTAATGAATTTACTCTGGTTTTTGGGTATAAATTAAAAACTAATAAAAGGTAGTAATTTTTTCTTCGAATTTGATTTGATTAATACATAAATAAACGGATGCACACTGCTGAGGAGTCCCACAATAGGACGTAATAGCCGTCCAGTGCTTCCAGGTTTTCCATGGTGGTCTTACTTCAATTGAATCATGATCTCAATCATTAAAATCACTATAATATTCACAAAAATCCCTTCTGATATGAATTAACATTTGCTCACTAGTGACTGGCTTCAAAAGGTATCTCATGGAGTTCTAGTGAGAAGCGATAACCAGTGAAGTTCAGCTGGGTCAGTTGTGAGATAGTAACTCACTGATGACAATGATGGATGTGTATCTCAATTTCGTGGATTAGTTGAATTTAGATATTAACATGGTTGGATATCGGCCGGCTCAGTGGTCTAGTTGTGGTGTGACCTACTTATATTGATATAAGTAGTATATAACGTGCGTTAAAAGAACGTAATGTCCGGCAGCAGAAGATGGCGAAGATCAAGAAAGGAAGAGCAAGAACACAATGTAATTGTAAGAAAACGCATGTACAATGGAATGGGAGACAATGGATTAGTGTTTGCAACGGGAACAGTACAGTTTGATATGATGGAATGATATTTTGCAAATTGACGATTGATTTTATGGTATTCACATTATATTGAGATAGTCTGTAATTTTTGTACCAAATACAGTCGATTGTCCCCACCCGTGTTCTTGTTCACTACATAGTGACTAAGCGCTTGCGTGCGATACTGATAGGCCCTGTAGGATCGTGGATGCGCACTGTTGAAGAATCCCGCAGTGGGACAAAATAGCCGTCTAGTGGTTTCAGGTTTTCCATGGTGATCTTGCTTCAATTGACTCATGACCTCGACGATTAAATTAAGTTATTAATTATTGAAAAGAAAAATGTTTTTTTCACTAAATAATGTATAAATATAAATGTCCAAATTCTATGTGTAGTGGCCTACAATTAGATATATATCTACTTGAAGTAAATCCCAATTCCATATCAAACTAAAACATGGAATTTTAATTTAAACACTTAATAGTAAACTACTGAAATTCAAATAACGATTGTAAATAGAAGACGAATAATATTGGTATTGATGTCTTTTCTTTTTATCTAAATCAGTGTAGTGTTTGTTTGTTTTTTGTACTTGCTGAAAAATCATTGTAAAATTATTCTTACTTCTGAAGTATATAAAGTTTCAGTCAGTTAGTCAGTCAGTCAGTCAGTCAGTAACAACGTAGAACTTCGTACGTACGTACATCAATTCGAGTTGCCATAACATATTAGCACAGAGATGCAGTTGCCGATTCAAATCCCGTAGTGATAGATGTAAGGTGTGATCGATAAACGAACTCACCAATGATAAAGCGAAACGTCGACCACCACATTAACTTTCTTTGACATTGTATGACTATGTTTTGTTTATTCGCCAATCACAATTTTATGTTCATTATAAAACATTATTTGCCTTGTTGACTCATTTTTCCTATCCTCTAGCTACTGTTCGGTATGTTATTTCTGTATACTAGCGGTGTTAATTTATGTTTTAGAAACAGATAAAGTTTATCAAGCCAAATAGCTTACTTGTTCTGACTTTGGCTAAACCAAGACTCTGTGTTCGACGGTCTAGAGAATAGCTTAGAGTTACACCTGTAGGAAATCGCTTCCTACAGTAGAGGAAGTAAAAGTATAATCAGTAGTCGGAAAGATTAAGGTTTGAAGATGTTATTCAATGAGTATAATCTAGTGAAATAAATTTGGAAAGAGAAAAACAAAGGACATGAAGAATTCAGAAGATTAGAATTTGGGAGAACACAAAGAGTGGATGCACCTGCGCCACTGAAAATGATTTTGAGCTATGTTATTAAAGGTCTCTAACCATCGGTTACCATCGTCTGGCGTATTTCAACCAGGTAGTCTACATCTACCAACATGCCTCAGTTCACTTATTAGTGACTTCATGGATTTGTGCCATGTTTTGGTCTGGGCGCTTTCTTTCAACCTACTCCTACACCATAAATTTTAGTTAGAAATAATGTACTTGAAGTGACTGATATATGTAACTATCCTAAAAGGTTCATACTATACTATACTAACAATATTTTTTTAGTTGTGATCAATGACACTGTCTTTGACTTAGATAGCTGAGGATCAGTCGATGTTTATCTAATCACGAAAATAGGCATTAAATATAACCTTTGGTAATAAAGACTAGCGTTATTTGTTGGCTTAAACATAAACGAATAAATAAGTTCACAATTTTTCTGTGTAGACAGTTAACATCGTATCAAAATTAGAAACATCATACAATGCAAATACTTTGTGTTTGAGTTTATTTTAAAGGAAATATAAGTGAAGAGAGATGAGATTCAATGAGAATTGGTTGTTAGCTTTGAACGTAGTAAACGTTGTTTACATACTGAATCAATTAACATTGAGTATTACTGTTTGAATTTAACAAAATAAAAAGATTTAGTGTAATGATATCCGATTTATCAGGTTGAGAGTTAGTTTGCTCACCAATAAATCATTTGCCGTTAGAATCTAAATATCATTATTGTGAACTGAGACAAAGTACAAGGCTATTGACCTCATATGAGATCTGACTGAAGATCCGAACAATGTGAATGTTCAATAGTTGACTTGGGATTTACGGATTTATAAACTTCTTTTATTCTAGAAAAATAGAACAGACATCATTGGATTATACTGGAGAGCAAACGTCTCACTATTTTTTTAATGAGTTACACTTACTTACTTTACTTTCGCCTGTTACTCCTAATGGAGCATAGGCCGCTGAACAGCATTCTCCAACCCACTCTGTCCTCCACCTTCTTTTCTAGTTCCATACAATTGTTGTTCATTTCTCTCATGTCTATCTTCATTTCCCGGCGTAATGTGTTCTTTGGTCTTCCTCTTCTCCTTTGGCCTTGAGGATTCCATGTGAGGGCTTGTCTGATGACGCAGTTAGGTGCTTTCCTCAATGTGTGTCCTATCCACTTCCAGTGCTTCTTCCTGATTTCTTCCTCCGCTGGAGTCCGGATTGTTCTTTCCCACAGTAGGTTGTTGCTAATAGTGTCCGGCCAACGGATCCAAAGTATTTTACGTAGACAACTGTTAATAAACACCTGTATCTTTTGGATAATGATTTTCGTAGTTCTCCAGGTTTCTGCTCCATACAGTAGAACTGTCTTGACATTTGTATTGAAAATTATGACTTTGGTGTTAGTTGACAGACAGTTGTTTTGAGTTCCAGATATTCTTCAGTTGTAGATATATTGCTTTTGCTTTGCTGATCCACGTTTTCACATTTGTATCAGATCCACCCTGTTCATCAATGATACTGCCCAAATATGTAAATGTTTTTACATCTTACAAATCTTCTCCGTCAATTGTGATTGGGTTGGTGCATGCTGTATTGTATCGGATAATCTTGCTTTTCCCTTTGTGTATATTGAGACCTACTGCTGCTGAAGCTGCTGCTACAATGGTCGTTTTTTCCTGCATTTGTTGTTGCCAGATCGTCTGCAAAGTTTACCTGCATCCTAGATGTCCGTTGCGTCCCATGCTTCTCCGTAGATGTTGACGTCTTCATGATCCAGTCGATCACCAGGGGGAAGAGAAAGGGTGAGTGTAAGCAACCTTGCCTGACACCGGTCTTTACTTCGAACGATTTTGTCAACTGTCCTCCATGCACGATTTTGCAGTGTAATGCATCATATGAATTCTGTATGATAGTGACTATCTTCTGAGGCACGCCGTAGTGTCGAAGAAGCTTCCATAGTGTTGTTCTGTCCACGCTATCAAATGCTTTTTCGTAGTCAATGAAGTTGATGTAGAGTGATGAATTGCATTCAATTGTAATGAGTTACACAGGTTATAGATGTTCACTGAACTCTAGAGTACCTCTCTTGCATTTCGTTATTGATAAACATCTATATAGTTAACAGATGTACTTCTTATAAGAGGTGAAGATTCTAGACCTGATCCTATACACGAGATTGTGGATGAGCATTTTCAAGTCCAAAAAATGAGTTTAATTACCAGTTAACTGGATAATTGTACTTAGGAATGTAAACAGTGAAATGTTATTACACTAGAGAAGGAAGCTTGAAAAACGTGAGAAATTACCACATCATCTACAGTCTCTGTTCTGATTGAATTTAGTGTCATCAGTAATTTATGCATTACACTATTGAACATAGTCTACAGAAAACTTAATACCTAGATTTTGTTCCAGTTAATGGTCGTCAACATGTTGCACCTAATATGTTGAGAGAACTAGTACCCTGATGGATTTTAGCCTAAATTATCTCATTTCAGTCTGAGGCGTTACCAATGAGATATTTTACCCGTAACTGACCTCCTAAAGGACAAACAGTTATTTTGATTAAACAGTGAGTATTTGAAAACCTCACCCTGGTTCGAATCCATCATATAGTCTCATTCCCTTTAAGATGCATGTACACTTTGAGGTCGGGTACCAACTAGCAATATATGGTTTTCTGATGATTACCTTCAGTCCATACATTGTTGAGTGAATTAGACTAGGAACCATATTATATCTTAATCTATAGAATTCAGCCAGCAACAAATGACTAGACAAACAATACAATGGTCACTATTTAGTGACCAATTAATTATAACTTGTTTACAATATACTTATCTAAATCAATCAAACCTTATAGTCACTTAATGAGGTTCACAATTTATCAACTCCATTTTGTAGTTAAGTAATGAATAGAATATTATAACTTAATAATACCATTTATCTACCTGTTTCACCATAACTTGTCATTTCTGATGTACCAAGAAATTTCACAGTTATAATTGGTGCTTCATCATTCTCATCAATTACAGGAATGATAACTATAGCAGTACTAGTAAGTTCATATGGTTGAGGTGCAGAATCGACAGCTTTCACTTGAAATATAAATTGTTTTTTATAATTTTGATTTGTATTAATATCTATATTATTATTATTATTATTATTATTATTATTATTATTATTATTTAATGGTGTTGTTTGTGTTGGTTTATTAAACAATAATGAATTTAATATAATTTGATTATCTATTGTACTTGTTTCCATAGTTTCATAATCTAACCAACGTTTTAATACAATTAAACCATTTGATTGTACATTAAAATAATTCATAGCTAATGTACCAGGAATCATTGTATAATGTATATGATTATTTATGTAGGATACATCTTGATCTGTTGCTGTTAAATTTATGATAATTGTACCAGGTAATGTTTTTTCACTAATAAATTGATTGAATGGATAATATATTGATTGATTAAATATTGGTGAATGATCATTAATATCAATAATATTGATTTTAATTAATGCTGTACCAGTTCGTTTAGGTAAACCAGAATCTATAGCTAATAAATAAAATTCATAATTTTGTTTTAATTCATAATCTAAATTTATAGTTGGAATTAATTCTAATGGTCTATTAGGTATATCTTCTATTATAAATGGAATATCATCATTATTATGATTAATGGATTGATTAATATCATAATTATGTGTATAATCTAATGATTTTTTAATTGATTGAAGATGATATGTTAATTGACTGTTAATTCCTTCATCAGGATCATAAGCACGTGGTAAATTGATTCGTGATTGTTGATATCTTTGTTTTATACTTGTTGAATGATCATCTATTCCATGCATTATTTGTATATTATTTGGTGTCTCTGATATTTGTACAATGATATTTGGTATATCATTATGATTATTATTACCATTAGTAGTTGTAGTAGTAGTAGTAGTATAATTATAATGATGATGATTATTATTATTATTATAATTGATTCCATTATTAATTGATAACCATATTGGTTTATTATCATTTATATCGATAATCAATAAATTGATAGGTATTTTTTTAATATTGACTTCATTTAATTCTATTATTTGTATTGTTGATAAAATATTCAATGTTTTAATACATTTTTTATTTAAATTATTTGATATCCTATTCATAGGATTATTATTATTATTTTGTAAGAACATTGATGGACGATTATTCAATGGAAATTGTGAACTGCTACTATAACTACTACTACTAGTACTACCAATCATAATGTTATTGTTGATACCATTGCCGTTTACACTACCACTGCTACATATAGATTCACGATCAATACGTTTTTGAATTGTTAATTTACCATTCATTGGATCTAAATGTAATGCATTTGTTAAAGGATCATGTATATCGAGTAATTGAAAATTAAATTGGAACTTATCATTATTGAAGAAATTATTATTATTATTATTGACATCTATTTTTATATTATTCATTGTAAGAAACTGTTGTAAACTAACTGAAATATATTGATGTAAATATTTAGATACACCAATAATCTCTGTACCATTTGGAGATTCTTCAATTAGATGGAATAAATTTAATTGATCTTGTTCTGTAGATGACGAAGATGACGACGACAAAGAAGAAGAAGAAGAAGAAATAGGTGATGGTGGAAGGTGAAGTGAATGAGAAGAATCATATCCAGATGTAAGATACATTGTGGTATTCGTTTGATGCACAGCCGAAGCGGAAAAATTAACAACATTATAAATATGAATAAAATTATAGAAAAATAGATTGAATAATAAGTAGGATGATTTTTTACAAATAAATGACATTGTTTCCTTTATTAGCTGATTAAAACAACCATAAGATAGGTGATTTCTGAAAAAAAAGTAATAGAAATACATAACATATTGAAATTTATTAATTTTGACAAATGGATAAACTTAAATTCGACTTTCTTTATGTTAAAGGATAGAAATTTGATTTGGTAAGGTAAACAATAGCGAGACTAAAATTTATGGACGAACCAATCAGATATAAGATAACGAGTTACGAATTTGGGCGCGGAATTCATCCATACATTTGGCTAAATAGAGTTTTGGCATTATAACTGATGTCAGTTCGAGATGAAAACCCTAAATCTAATTCCTCAACCTAATCATCAACTGTAAATGCGAATTCTAACTGCTTTATAATCCTCATTTAGTCCTAATTAGAAGTTGTTCACTCTCAAGGTCACTTCAGCGTCGCTAGAAGGTCGTCCATAAATTATAGTCTCACCTAAACAATTTTAAGTGGACATTGACGATAGATTGTGCAAGACCCTAGCAAACCTAATAGTTGTAAATTTCCACAAAGTGATTAAAAATGAAGTGGTTTATTTATTTATTTGAACAAATGAATATTCTTACAAAGAGTCACCGAATACATATGCGCCACATAAATCATTCGATTTGTGTGAGGACTGGGATACTGCATGGGTGTCCAAACTGAAGCAGGTGATTTTCTTAGGGGGTCACATCCCCAGCCTTCGACATAAAGGTCTGATTCATAAGACAGTGGAGCAATGTCAGGAGATGCAGTCTCATGGTAGCTGGTGACCAACGTATGGTTCATACGCCATTTGTTCTTTCAGGATCCTGAAGCTCATGTACACTATTGGTTTGGAATCAGGGTTTTCCAACTCCCCTAGGTGGACCCTCCGTTTCCACCAACCCGGTTAAAGTGCCGAACACTCGCTGTTCGTTCTCTTAATTTCATAAACAACAGTAATGCCGTGAGAATGCAGTGAATAGGTCTTCCTTGTAAATGGTTATTTGCGCGTGGCCATGTGAGAGCATTTGGAGAGAGAGAGTTGACTCTCCCCACTCTCAGTTGTACCAGGGCATATAAGAGCATTGAAGTGGTTACTTTGGAAAATTTATGATAATCGAGGTAATAGTACAATGTGAGGGGGGATCAGTCAGCCGGGTTGCTAGGATCCACTTTTGAATGTTATGTGCAAAATTCAAAAATGAATGACTTTTTTCTTGCACTATATAGAACGAGAACCAAAAAATATCTTTCTATAGCGTTAAGAATATTTGTAATTTTAACGAAAGATTAATTGTTGTCATCAATATAGTAAAAGTGAAAGTTTTACACCTATCAAATATTCAATTCTTTCTACATATAAGTTGTATTACAATATTCAACTTAAAAGATGGATATTCTATAGCTATACAGATCTTTTTGGTGGAGTTTTGTTCTCTTAGCTGGACTTCTATCTGAAGTTTGTGCTGATGATGTCGTTCAGAAGAACGATGAAAGCTCCACGACCAAACCATCTAGCTCAGAGAACAAAACTCCACGAAAATCATCCACCTGAGCTACAAATCTTCTCCACCATATACAGATCTTTATCAAAATCATTACAAATTAAGTTTGAATCATTGTCAACATTAGTGAACTCGTTCAGATATCCAAAGTATAAATATAATGTCAATAATAAGAAATACTCTATCATTCTGAAGTAAATAAATACTAATTATATCACTATATGTTTGTTGAAAAGTAAAACCTTATTTTCAGATTTTCTCCTGAGAAAATTATATTATTGTGTAGAGGTTCATCTCTACCTGGAGCCACTCTGAGGTTATTGCTGATCCCATATCAGGATAAAGCAGGAGGGTTGGGCATAGGGTTAGTGACCTCATCCCATTGAAAACTAACTCACTTTAGAAATAATACACTAACCAAACATGTAGAGATTTAATAAAAATTTATTCACTGGGTAACAAATTAAATGATAAAGTCAATATTTAACCACATGATAATAATTATAATGCTGAAACACACAGCAAAGCAGCTCATCCTTGTAAGGAAAAAGAAGGAGAACAAAAGATTAATCTTTTAATTTTAAGATTATGAAACAGGTGTTTAATAAGTTCTGTCTGCCATTAACCAAATGGTCATTTCATTAAATACAACACAAATGAATAATTTTAATTAATATGAATAGTTTATCATGGATATTTTGATATCATAGTTAGATAAAAGTAAACGGTGAAATCTCGGAGGTTCATTCAATCTTATCTGGAGTTTATCATCTGGACATACATGCATTGCAGTGGTGATATGAAAGGATGTAGTTTGTTCTGTTGCTATTTATTATATAACGAAATGCCTTTTTTGGATTTCACTGAAAGTCATATATCAAATAGTTGATTCAAATAAGAAGTATGGAAGGTATCACTCACAAGGATTATAAAGTTAGTGTCAAGTATTCAAGTATCAAATCATTAAATGTTCTTTTCCTCAAAAGATTCTTCGAATCGAGAAAATATTTTTTACATCGTTAGATTTATTCATACAGTACTAGGACATGGAAATATTAGTTTTTCTTTTTAGGAATTTTGACCAGCCAACAATAGCCACCAACTTAAACCTATACATTTAGATCCTAAAAGGTATGAATAGAAAGGCACAAAAATGTTTTCTACTTGTTAGCCTTTTCTACATGGCAAATGTTTCATTATTAAATTGGGCAATACGATTAGAAACGACTATTGAAAAAATATAGTACCACGAAGCAATGTTCATTTACATTTATTTCAGTAGTATGCAAGGTGTACTATAGCTAACTGATTGATAAATGACAGTGATTCAGAGAAAAAAGGCCTAATCTAATTTGGGATGAAAAGTTTTCATGGGAAAAACATTTTGATTATGCTGATACTACTTCCACTTCAATAAGTATTGATCTTATTACAAAGATTCAAACTTATTATCAACATATTTGAACAAGAAATCCGTACACTAAAAGAAACTCTATAGTTCAGTTGTAAAAACAAAATGCATTCATTAATTATAATATTATCAGTTTACGGGTTGTGGATGCGCACTGCTGAGAAATCCCACAATAGGACGAAACGGCCGTCCAGTGCTTCCAGGTTTTCAATGGTGATCTAACATCAATCGTTTCATGAACTCAATAAAAAAAATTATAATATTGACGAGCTAGGCTAATCAAACATATACCAAAATACAAACGCACACCATTGGTCAAGGTTCGACTACATTTTCTGAAATAAAGAGAACATTAAATTGTCTGAAATGTAGCTGTATTCCCTAAGGGAGAAAGATATATATTTATGGATGAGTATGTATGTTCACAATTTGGTTCCAATCAATAAAGTCTTCTCATTTAAACAAATGGTTTGGGCTGGCATTTAGGAAGCTTATTTATCAGCGGTTGACACAGACACCACATGGCATAATGAATGTATGATGATGAAATCAATGAATTTCGACTAGTTTGAGATATAGTTCAACTAGCTGAATGTTTAACTTAAACTTTATAAATATACTTTTTCTAAAAGTACAATGTGAGATAAAGACATTTGTAACAGAGTAATTTACTTATTGAAGCAATTTATACTTGCGACAATTCAGAATATCAGCTAACTGTTAAATCCTATTGACATTTGTTCGCTTATATCAAAAGATGTGAACAACTGGTGATATGAATTTGACTAGAAAAACATTCAAACTATTGAGTAGAGTAAAAATAAATCCCTCAATTCACTCACAAATCAAATAAGACATGATTTACCAATCAATAAAAATGAAATGACAAATACCTACTACCTTAGAAATCAAATGAAAGTTTAAAAAATATACAAACAGGAGCAACACAAGTAAGTAAACAATCAATCTAGTCCCATGTAGACAGAACAGGCTATTGTGAGAAAGGGAGAATTCTAATAGTTCACATCTTTTTGAGGTATTTATTAATGATGTTGTCTGAAAAGACAATGAAAACTTAAAGATCAAAACTTGTAGCTCAAAAAAACATAACACTACCCATAAATGAACAGATTTAGTAAATTCGGTTCATGATTGATTTAAGATTTGGAAATGAGATACTTATTGCTCATTAACTATATATCAGATGGAACGGGTTATTTAATATTACGGAGTTCTGTGGTTTTTATGCCAAGTGGTAAATATGTTGATAACTGTAAGCTTCATTTGAATTACGATATATCACATGGATAGACAATGCTGGTGAGTGGCCTATATTCCTCCACGAGCGGTAACAGGCCTAAAAAGGTAAGTAAGTAAGTAAGTGAGTACTTGGGTTCTCCGTTCTTCATTTTCTGGTCAATTTGCAACTAATTGCGAATTCATTGAACAGACTCCATAATTTCTTTTTGTATACACAACTTTTAATGTTATTTAATAGTTGAATTCATCAGTCATTTGAAACTAGATCATCATGGAAAACCTAGAAGCACTGGACGGCCGTTTTATCCTAGTATGGGATTCCTCAGCAATGCGCATCCACGATCCCACCTCCTGAGATTCGAACACCGGACCTATCAGTCTCGTGCGCGAACGCTTAACCTCTAGACCACTGAGTCGGCATTCAACGGTGTTGATGTTTAACTTCAAACAATTCATGAAATTGAGCGACACTTCCACCATTATCTTCAATGAGTTACTATCTCACAACAGACCTGATTGAACTCCAATGATCACGACTTTTCACTAGAACTCCAGAAGATACCTCTTAAAACCAGTCACTGATAATAATACCATTACCAATTTTTAACTTACAATCCTCCCTTGTAGTGTATAGTCTTGAATACAAGAGACAAAAATCTAGAATTTCTCAGTTAAAAATGTTATTAAAGAAGAATAGCTCTTTTTTAAACAATTCAATCAACAGATTTTCAATTTACATCAAGGTTTTATCTTAATCTGATAACTACTACTAACTAATGTTGTATGAAGAAACAATATTTGCATCAAACTAATATTTAATTGGCTGTAACGCTTAAAGTGGAATAATGATGTTGTGGTGTGTACCATTTGTATAGGATAGATTGTAGTGA